AACTGCGTTGTTCATGGAAATGGACTCATTTTTATGCTATGGAGGAATAGTCCTGTTGCAATTTACCAGAATATAAAGCAAGAAAATCTCGAAAATAAGGCTTTGATTTCATGTATTAAAAATGAGGCAGAAACTAATAATGATCTAATATTGTGTTTTATTGTAGAAATTGGGCCCCATATGCTTGAGGATCCCACCCTGAAGGTGCTAAGTGTTTCTTTGCTGAAACTCTACCAACACAGTATGTCCAGAAACGAACACCCTTGTTGCTAGCAAGAAAGGTTTTTTCTTACGCTGAGTTATTTAATATTGTTGTTGTCATATTCAAGATAGCCTGACCTTTCACTGTGTATTTTGTTTGTTATTTTTATGCTTGTAGCCTCGCAGTACTTAGGGCCTATCCAAATAATGTATTATAAATATAAAGATCACAAACTGTAAAAATACACTAAATAAAAGTAGTGTAGTTCAGAGGCTAAGCAACCACAAGCATATACACAGTCATATGTTCCACAAGGTGCATTGAATTTCATTATTTGAACAATTCAGATCATCATGAATATGGAAATATAAAATAGAGAGAACATTATTTCCTACAAAGTAAAATGGAAAGGAACAATTAGAGCCCCTACTTTGCCAAACACTAATCTTCAGCTAAAGAGTCAACAAATTAAAAGAAAAAAAGTACTTTTTCAATAAGCAACATGATACAGTATGTGATGTATTTACAGCAGGATGTGAATGTTTGAGGCTATAAGTTTGTAATGGGGAGATCATTTCTCCTTCTCCACTGATATAGTATTTCAAAAAGTGGATTACAATTTTTGGATAGTGTTCAAAATTTACAAAATTCAAAGACTGATGACATAAGTTCACTTCATCTATGGTTTCATTTAATAGGCCTTGGCTGTATATTTTATATATATTTATAGCTAGAAGCTAGTTCAGTTTATAGAAAATATACCCCATTAGCAGTTTTGTGACTTTATAAATGAGCTATTGTGTTTTTGTTAGACTGTAGGCATGTCTTTGTGTGTATACCTATCTATCTATACACAAATATATATTTTTTTTTCTTAAAACACTCATTGTTTTAAACTTTAATCATGCACAAGAACTGCAAAGTGCTTAGAGTTTAAAATGTTTTCCTGAGTGCTGCAGAAATAAAACCAGAGAAGTTATAGCAGTGTTTAGCAGAGATTAAGTGCTTAAAGGTACAATGTTCCATTTTTCTGGTAATCCTTTAAAATATAGCTTATCTTCAAATCAATGTAAATGCTCCTAAAAAAACTTAAAAAATAGGAGGATGTCAGTTCAAGGATAAAATCAAAAACAGAAAGAGATGACTGTTTGATTCCTCTGGACCTCATATCCATCATCTACACAGAGACTACATCATCTACACGAACAGCATGGCGAGAAGTCTGTCACATTTACTTCTCACCACACTTTGGAACAGACATGAATGCATATCACTGCTTTTGTGCTCCCTCCAAATCTCATAGACTCCAAACAACTTCATCTAGGGCACTTCCTGGAAGCTTGTTCAAAGACTTCTGTTCTCATGTTATAGCCTGACTTATGTTCCACGTGAAAAGACATGGGACTTGCACTTGGAACCAACTTCAGTTTGGTTCCTAATGAGAATTGTTTTCCTGTCAAAACTACCCATGCAAATCTAAAGCTAAATCTGTAGGGCTTGAGAAAGTCATAGAATCATAGAATGGTTTGGGTTGAAGTGGATCTTAAATATCATCTAGTTCCAATCCCCCCTGCAGTGGAGAGGGACACCTTCCACTAGACCAGGTTTCTCAGAGGTCCATCCAGCCTGATCTTTGAACACCTTCAGGGATGGAACAGCCACAGCTTCTCTAGGTCACCAATCCCAGTGCCTCACCACCATCACAATAAATATTTTTGTCTTAATATCTAATCTATACTTACTCTGTCTAAGTTTGAAGCCATTCCACCTTGTCCTGTCACTACGTGCCCTTGTAAAAAGTCCATTTCCATCCTTCTTGTAGGTCTCTTCTGTTAGTGGAAGGCCACAATTCAATCACCTTCTCTTTGCCAAGCTGAACAATTCCAACTCTCCTAGCCTTTCCTCACAGGAGAGGTGCTCCTCCCATTTAATCAACTTGATGGCCTTCCTCTACACTCACTCCAACAGGTTGACATTTGTCCTTTGCTCTGAATTGTTCTGAAAAATACACCAAAGATTTTGCTCCTCCAGTTCTCATCCTGCTGTTCATCCACTCAAGAGGTGTGGAGAGTTTGTCTTTTAAGACTGAAGCAAAAAAGTTTTTTAATACCTCAGCCACCTTCTCATCTATTGTTACCAGTTTAGCAAGGTTGTTTATCTGAAGGGGTACACCTTCTTTGACATTCCTTTTCTGGTTAACAGACCTGTAAAATGCTTTTCTGCTATTCACTTGCCAGGTTCGGTTCCAGCATTGTCCTGCCTTTCCTCACCCCATCCCTACCCAACCAAGCTTCACCTCTATATTCTTCCCAGGTTACCTGTCCTAGTTTTCACTGCGTGTGCATTTGCCCATTTCTCTTTACTTCGACCAACAGTTCTCTACTCAGCCATGCCAGTTCTGTGTGTTAAGAAAGCCTCAATGCTCTAACATATGGGGCCAGTCTCATGTGTAATGGTGTCTCACAGAGAACACAATAGATTTATTTATGTTTATTCCCCCTTTTTGAAGGGATCAGAGACTTCCATTCTATTCTTATCCAAACATTTTGGTGTCTTTCTAAAAAGCTCTAGCTACAAGAGTCATTATTTTGAGAATTTCAGCTTTTGTGAGAATAAGACAATCTCTCCCCAGGTTGGAAGAGTTGGAGGAAACAGCTTGAAAGCTTAGGTTAGGTATTTTGAAAATAAATTTCATTAATTGAAGGACTGCTCACTCTTACTGAGCAATGAATGCTTGAGTTTGTTGTAGATTTGTAAAGTCTCTTTTGCACCACACTGTGTTCTGTACACTTTTTATCCTGAGGCAGACTGCAAGTTTCCTGGTGAGCCAGAGGAATATTGCCACTTTAAAGCACTCTCCAAACAAGATGCCATTATAAAGATGAGTGACAGATGGGAATATAGACACATCTGTGTCTCAGTTCTTAATTTCCTGAACATTTTGAAAAAGGAGAGTAAGAAGCAGTTGCATATTAAGTAAAAGTTAAAGAGAATAAAATTCACTGTCAGTAAAAATGCAAAAGTGTTTTAATAATATAAACTGAAGAAGTGGAATTATTTTCCTTCAGAATACACAGTCTGTATAACTGGAAAACCAAGACATTGTCAAGACTGTGCTGCTTCTAAACAGCTAGACAGTCCTCAAATTAGTTTCAATGATCTCTTCTGAGAAAAAAACAAAAACAAACAAACAAAAAATAAAATACCATCTGCTTTAAAACACAGTTTGTGCTTCAAAATCACAGTATTTAGAACCTGGGAAGTGAATGATTTTAAAATATAAGGCACACAGAAGTTCTCATACTTGTTGGTTTGTTTTTTTTTTTAACTCTCCCAAGTGTGGCTTTAGCTATTGCCTTTACTCAAAAGAAAAAACAAAACAGAAAGCAAAATCTTTTAGCTGACAGTAGTAGGAATTCCTTAAAGGGTAGAAAACAATAAAGACCCCTAAATTCAGAGCTCTGGCTGGAAAGTGGCACAACTTTTCATCTAATATCTGATGTGGGAACAGCAACTACTAAAGGATTAAAAGTCAAGGTTCTTAGCGAAGAATTTAAGACAAGCTTCGGACCTTCTGCCATGTGCATTTCAAGGTTTTGTGAGTTTGCCATCATTAAAAGACATTTTTTCTTTTGGCCTTGTGTTCTTTACTATTTGGGAATTTATTTCCCCTTTGAGGTATCCCAGAGGCAGCCAAGACCTCTTGTAAAGTTTCTTGCAGAACTTACCAGAACCCCACTGTGCAGCCTATACCTGTCTTTCCCTGATTTTTATAACTGATCTTCAGAAAAAGAACAAAAGACATTTCAAGACATTTCACAAAATCATCAGTAGCCAATTGCTTTAGTGTATTTAAGAATGTAAATACTCAGCAGCTAATGTTTCCTGCTGTGCATCTTATCAGACAGCAGTGTACTAAGATCCTGAACTAGTGACATGGCACAGTGAAAATGGAGACTTGACCTGGGGAAACAGCTCTTTTCCCAGGCCCTGGACTAATGGGGGTGGGAGTGTGTAAAAAACAGTTAGCTTGGGGGGTGGAACAAGGGGCATTAAGAAGCTGATGCTCTCAATCTCGAAAAGAAAGCTGCTATAATCAGTATACAGCATTCTCTCAGTCAATCCAAAGCTTTACAGCAGGAAAAAAAAAGCTCAACAAAATCTTTCAGCTCAGTGTATAAATGTAAGAGGATTGTCAAACTGGATAGGCAGGAGTCTATCACACAAAAATTTATTATTCAAATTTAAAGTAAAGCTTTGTTTAGGTTTTAATGAAAGCAAGAGAATTTTAACAAGAGAAGTTCTGTTCTTTCTCTTTTTCTCTCTCTTTCCACATTCAGTTCCTCTGACCCTGCACCTGCTTCCAGTTTTGGCTTCTTGGCAGTGATGCTTAAAGAGACATCAGCTGGCAGCGGTAACCTGTTAAAAGCTCCCCTGCAATGCTGCTTTGCAAATGCCAGCCATTTATTCACTGGTGCATGCCAGCTTAACACAAGGTTTCTTTCCCTCTTGCTTCCCCGCTCTGAGGTTTCAGTTCCACACAACAGTAAGGAGTCTGAGTCATGCCCTAGCTGTTTGAGCATCCATTAAATGTGGTCACTGCTATCTGCTGTTGTCATATTTTGATCCAAAAAGTGTTGCATAGAATTTCAACTATAGCACTGTTTCTTCTTTGCAGACATAGCAGTTGAACCACAAGTTTTGTTTTATTTTAGTTTTGTCCTTTTAAACAGATGGTGGGATAGCTAAGCTGCTAGACCTTGTAGTTATTTTGTTGCCTTTGTATCTTTCCTCTTCTGCTTTTCCAAGTCCATAATGATCCCCTGGAAAAAGAAATATAGAAGAAAATGAAGACAAAGAAGGTGGCAAGTAGCTTAAGTATTCGACATAAGCAGACTCCTTCCATGCTGCCTTAGAGATCACAGTTCAGTTGGATCTCCAGTGCCTCACTGTAAATTCAGAGCTATTAACAACATGATATTCATTAGACTGAGTTCAGAATTCTATGTATGGTAGGATAAAAAATTGGCCCCAATAGGACATTTTTGAATTCACTACATGACCAGCAGAGAGTGAGAAAGTGCCACAGATGTGCGACAATTCCACAGTATATTTTCTTTGGAAATCTAAAGCTTATCTTTAATGTGTGTTGTCTGAAAGTTCTTTCTAGGTCATTTGGGGAGATAAGAAATCTGATTTTCATAGTCTGAACTACTGAAGTTTCTCCTTGTACTCCATACTCTTTCTACAGATGGTTCTAGGTGGGAAAGAGTTGTCTCAGTGCTCTTAGCATGAATAGGTTGACAAATTAAATTTCACTGCAGCAACATTTTTGCATGGAAGAGGAATCAGAAGCTTACGGACCTTTTGATCTCATATTCTCCTTCAGTAAGACCTGAGCCTATTCCAGTTTATCAAAAGATTTGTATTGACTTTCACCAAGTCCTTCTGAAAAGAAGTTTGCAAGAGCAATGTACCCTAACTTTTTGAGTGAATAGAAAGTGTGTTGCAGAATAGTTACAGTAAAACCATGAGGAATAAAAGCAGTGTTGGACAGGAGGCTGGGGAGAAAATAAATAGCTCAGGTAGTTAGCAGCAGTGTGAGCAGTAGCCTGTTCTACTCATCCAGATTATTATTTCTTTATTAAACTATGAGAAAGCTTGGAAAAATACAATGTGGGTGAAGAAGAGCCATATTATCAGTCAAAGGAAGAGTAAAGCAACTCTGCAACACATATTTTATCCCCACTCATGTCTGAGAAATTGTGACTCTAAGACTGATGTCTACAAACCAGATATACTGGACTTGACACATGCATCTTTCTATGTTTTAACCCTGGATGCTAATGTTCACATGCCCACTGCAATAGTTTAAGAGATTTTCTCCCCATTTTATGTAAAAATCAGTCATTCAGCTAGAAGGTAATAAGAGGGGTTGGGTTACAGTATCATGATGAAGGTCCGTGATCAAAACAGCCAACTTGCAGGTAAAGAATCCGCTGAGCATTCTTAAATATATTTGCAGCTGAAACAAACATGGTCCTTGGTGTGTATATGAAGCCTGACCATCAGGGAATAGAAAAAAGAGCAAGTTTAAATGGCTTTTATTATGAGGTGAAAAAGGTTTCAAGGTGTAAGTAAACATCTACCTTCTGCTTGATGTCTTTATATCTGGTGGGGGGAAAAATGCTTCTATCTTTTTTGTAGACAAGAAAGATATCTGGCTCCCTACTGCAGAACAACCTCCAATAACCTGATTTTTGGCCCAGCACTTAGGCCACAAGAACAGAGAGGTAGAATGAGATAATTAAGTACGTTTCTGCATGAAGCTTTGAATTTAAACCCAAATGCACAGTCCATTAATGCAAAGATTACAAGGTGACTTGCACAAAGGAGGCAGAAAACATACCAAACTACAAATGTTGGTATGTAGGATCATATGATCCTTTAACCAAATAAGATGGAGCGATAGGGCTCTAGCAACATTTTCCCTTGCATGTATTTCAGAGATGTAGCTGACATAGAAAAGTGTAGCACAAGCATGACATACTCCTGGTTTTGAAAAGTTTATTTTGTAAAATAGATGAAGCAGATAGTTGTCTTGCTGACTCTGAAAAATAGGAATAGATTTCATAACAAAATATGGGCTTGGCTCAAGTTTGGCATTGTATCAAAAGGGGTTGATCACATGTTTGGTGTCCTAGATAAACCCCAGATAGAGTTTCATGCAAACTCAGAGGCATCACCGAAAACCTAAAAAAAATTGACTAATATTATTTAGAAATGTTGTCTTTCTTCTGTCTCAGAACAGCTTCAAATATTGAGTGGAAATGACAGACCTCTGAACCTCTGTGAACAGATGACCAGAAATGAATTTCTACAAACCCTATGTGGACCACATTTTCCAAACTCACACTATTTTGATCTCTTCTGACCACGTCTGCAGTAGGGTTTACACTGCTGACTACTTCTGATCTCACAGTGCAGGAATGGTCCATTGGCCTGTAAAGCCCACAGCTAAATTCAGATCTATCTGGAATACTTCTGGTAAGGTCAAGAAATCAAGCTCTTCAGTAACAATTCTAACAGTAATACACCTTTCAAGCAGTACAGGACATGCTTACAAGCCTGAATGTTTATACAATCACAATAACAAACTGCAGCAGTTTAGCTGCATCTGTGCTCTTTCTTTTCTTTTCTTTTCTTTTCTTTTCTTTTCTTTTCTTTTCTTTTCTTTTCTTTTCTTTTCTTTTCTTTTCTTTTCTTTTC